AGTGATTCTTGGAGAACTTTGATGTTAGTGCAGAGGCAGAATGTACCACCTCCCTCTGAGCCTGCGTGTTCTGAATGGTTCATTTCACTGTAATCCTTAGGGTCTTCCAGTCACTAGCTTTCTTGGCAATGTCATCACCAACATTTATTTGGAGACAGATCCATGGAGTTGATCTCAGGGGTCAGGGCAGGCATGACACTGACTTCCCCACCAGTGTACCTCAGGTATACAACTTTCATCTTGGTGTGCTTGAACCTAAACGGCATGGAAGAGGCAGCTGGTGTTAGATGAAATCAGATGCTGCATGACAGAAGAAGGTTGCACTTTGACTTCCTCTGAGCTGAAAGCCCAGAGTCCATACTTTTACTTTGAATCTACTTATATTTTTACATTTGAAGTGAATTTCTTGTTGACAGCATATATTTGGTTTGTGTTTTTTCTCCATTTTGACAAACTTTTTAATTAGTTTGTTTAGCCCACTTACATTTAATGTAATTACTGATATGTTTGAAGTCTACTATTTCATTATTTGTTTCTTGTCCCCTAATTTTTTTTTGTTCCTCTCCTTCTCCTTTTCTGCCTTCTTTTGAAACTTTTTTTGTATCCCATTTGATCTATTGCATTTTGACTATATCTCTTTGTATATTTTTGGTTGCCCTAGAGGTTACAATATAAAAATTTAACTTTGCATAGTTTAGTTAGAATAAATACTTCTGCCACTTCAAGTAGAATATAGAAACGTTCCTACCATATTGGTCCCTTTAGCCTCAATTCTTTGTATTGCAGTTGTCTTATATATTACTCTATATACATTGAATACCTCATCAGAAGATGTTATAACTACTTCTTTTCAACTACAAACATATTTTTGTTTTCAACTACAAACATATTTTAAAGAACTCCAGGCCAGGCATAGGTGGCTCATGCCTATAATCCCAGTGCTTTGGGAGGCCAAGGCAGTGGGATCACTTGAGGCCAAGAGTTTGAAGTTGCAGTGATCTATAATAGGACTGTGCCACTGCACTCCAGTGGGGGTGACAGAGCGAGACCCTGTCTCTTAAAAAAAGACCGTTACATAGCAGAAAAATAGTCTGTTCTACTATAATAGTCTATTGTATTAAGAACCTCTCACAGTAATGTAACTATAATTTATAAAAATCTATTGTATATTTCAAAATAGCTGGAAGAAGAAAAAACAGGACCTCGCCAACCAGGAGAAAATTTCCCATATCACGTCAGCCCTCTGTTTCTTCCTGCAGCTTCTCTCCTGGCCTCACATATCAGGAGACCTGAATTTCCCACTGCCTTGAGACAGGCTTGGGCCTTACTAAATTCAATACCACTGGCTTCAAATTATTTTTTTAAACTTTGCTTTTAATTAACATAATAATTGTACATATGTATGGAGGATGGTGTGATGTTTTGATACATGTATACATTCATTTTTTTTTTTTTTGAGATGGAGTCTTACTCTGTTACCCAGGCTAGAGTGCAGTGGCACGATCTCTGCCCCCTGCAATCTCTACTTCCCAGGTCCAAGTGATTCTCCTGCCTCAGCCTCCCGAGTAGCTGGGATTACAGGCACCTGCCACCAAGTCTGGCTAATTTTTGTATTTTTAGTAGAGACGGGGTTTCACCATATTGACCAGGCTGGTCTTGAATTCCTGACCTCAGGTGATCTGCCTGCCTCGGCCCCCCAAAGTGCTAGGATTACAGGTGTAAGCCACCATGCCCGGCTGATACATGTGTACATTCTATGGTGACAAAATCAGGCTATTTCGCATGTCCATCTCATTTATTTACCATCTCTTTGTATAAGAACATTCAAAATTGTTTTAGCTCTTTTAAAAATATACAATACAATATTGTTAACCATAGTTACCCTACTGTGCAACGTAACAGCATAATTTATTCCTCCTGTCTAACTGTAACTTTGTACCCCTGGACCAATCTCTAACCCTTCTTGCCTGCTCCCTACTATCTCCAGCCACTGGTAAGCACTATTCTACTCTTTTTTTTTTTTTTTTTTTTTTTTTGAGATGGAGTCTCGCTCTGTCGCCCAAGCAGGAGTGCAGTGGCCGGATCTCAGCTCACTGCAAGCTCCGCCGCCCGAGTTTACGCCATTCTCCTGCCTCAGCCTCCCGAGTAGCTGGGACTACAGGCGCCTGCCACCTCGCCCGGCTAGTTTTTTGTATTTTTTAGTAGAGACGGGGTTTCACCGTGTTAGCCAGGATGGTCTTGATCTCCTGACCTCGTGATTCGCCCGTCTCGGCCTCCCAAAGTGCTGGGATTACAGGCTTGAGCCACCGCGCCCGGCCTATTCTACTCTTTACTACTATGAGATTAACTTTTTTTTTTTAAGATTTCACATTAGTGAGATCATGCAGTATTTGTCCTTCTGTACCTGGCTTATTTCATTTTACAGAATGTCCAGGTTCATCCATGTAACCACAAATGACATAATTTATTTTTTTGTGGCTGCATAGTATTCCACTGTATATGTGTGTGTGTGTGTGTATATATATGTAGTGTGTGTATATATATATATATTGAGAGAGAGAGAGAGAGAGATCAGCTTTTTAAAATCCATTTATTTGTTGGATGCACACTTGGGTTGAATATTGAATATTGAATAATTGGCTATTGTGAATAGTGCTGTCATAAACATGAGAGTACAAATATCTCTTTGACATACTGGCTTCCTTTCCTTTAAATGAACATCCAGTAGTGGAATTGCTGTATCATATGGTAGTTATATTTTTAATTTTTTTGAGGAACCTCCACACTGTCCTTCATAATGGCTATACTAATTTACATTCGCACTAACAGTGTATAATGGTTCCTCTTTCTCCATGTTCATGACAGCATTTGTTGTTTTTGTCTTTTAATGATAGCCATTGTAATTGGGGCGAGGTAATATCTTATTGTAGTTTTGATTTGCATTTCCCTGATGATTAGGGACATTGAGCACTTTTTCATATACATGTTAGCCATTTGTATGTCTTCTTTAGAGAAATGTCTATTCAGGTATTTTGCTGTTTATTTTTGTTGTTGTTGAGACAGTCTCACTCTGTCACCCAGGCTGGAGTGCAGTGGCGTGTTCTCAGTTCACTGCAACCTCTGCCTCACAGGTTCAAGCGATTCTCCTGCCTCAGCCTTCTGGGTAGCTGGGATTACAGGCACCCGCCACCACGCCTGGCTAATTTTTGTATTTTTAGTTGAGACGAGGTTTCACCATGTTGGTCAGGCTGGTCTCAAACTCCTGACCTTGTGATCCACCCACCTCGGCCTTCCAAAGTGCTGGGATTACAGGCTTGAGCCACCATGCCTGGCCGCCAATTTTTAAATCAGATTTTTTTTTTTTTTTGGCTGTTGAGTTGTTTGAGTTTCTTATATATTCTGGGTATTAACCACTGGTCAGATGCATAGTTTGCAGATATTTTCTTCCATTTTGTAGGTTGTCTCTTTAGTCTGTTAATTATTTCCTTTGCTGTGCAGAAGCTTGGCTTGGAATTATTAAAAGTGTGATTTCTACATATGAATCAATCACAAGACATGTCAAAGGGAATTTCTTTTTCCTCTGGAGGCAGCAATAACAGGATTAACCACAAGCACTCACAATTGACTCCACGTGGTTGTCCACATTGTGCTGTCACAATGATTGCACCTGAAAAATCATCTAGGTCTTCGGAAAGAAGAGAGTGGAGGACTAACATTTATTGGGACACTCCCATATCATATATATGCATACTTCTACTAATATAGCCCTGTGCAGCTCAGATGTGCTAGCCCTTGTTGTCTCAGAAAATCTCTCTCTCTCTCTCTCTCCCTGCCCCCTCCACACATGCCCCTCTCCACATGTTTCATTACTGAACAGTATATATAATACCTAAGTTTTCTCCTGACCTTTTAGCTAGTAGAGTGTGTGCTCAGCACATGAGCACTAACTAGGGTGACCTAACAATTTATCACATAAACTAGAATACTTTTGAAAGCAAAAGGGGACCCTATTACAAATGCCAAGACAGCTGCGCCTCATGAAGTGCATCATAAACAGCACTGCAGCTGGGAATGAACAACCATCAGTGGCTTGAACCACAGCTTAGTGAAGACAGTGGCAACAGCCTTGACCTCAGAGGATTTGAAGAGAATCTATGCGCAATCCCCAGGGATGAAATAATTCAGCCATTCAGAACCTTGTCCCTAAGTAATAAAGGGTTTCTTTGAGCACAATCTCTTCTCATATTTACAATCACTCTGCAAGAGAGATATTATTATTCTTACACCAGGGATAAGGAAAGGGAGGTTTAAAGAATGAATGCAAAATGTCCAAAATCCTTACAGCCAGAATTTGGTAGAGAAGACACTAGGACTTGGCCCTCTCTGATTCCAGACACCAACTTGGAAGCCATATAATGTCCTGAGCTGGATACAAATTTTGGTGGCCACCGATCAGCTTTCAAATTCCAGCTCTAGTTACCTTGGCTGACCTGTATGATCAGAGTACAATGTTGAATGTAGTAGCAAATGTGAATACAGTGCTTGCCATAGTCGCTGCTCTGTGCTAAATGCATTCCCTATGCTATCCCATTTCATGCTTTGTACTGACCCCATCATGTATGTACTATTAGAAACCCCATTTTGCAAATGAGGGAAATAGTCTGAAAGAGGCTGGAAAAGTGCCCACTTCATGAAAGATACACGATAAATATATTTCCCTTCTGTCCTGACCACAGGGTCAGAGCACAGTAGAGGTCTTGAACCATTCTGTGTTTTATGATATTGTTCTTGAAGGTCTTAGGAGGCAATCTCTTCCCTAATGAATGTGCCTGCTTTTCCAGTTTTTCCAAAGGTTCAAGAATTACTTACTATATGGTGCATATTATTATTATTATTATTTTTGATTTGGCCAAAATACCTCCCACTTTCTTGAAACCATTTTGCCCCATGCAGTGGTTGTGGTCATGCATAAGAAACAGCAGGTGGTGCCAGATGACAGATGGTGTGGGAGCGCGTTCCCCGGTAGGAGGGGGCGCGAGCGAGCAAGCAGGCAGGCAGCTGCCAGGAGCTCTTCCCCGCTCGCTCACGCCTGCTCTCAGAAGCTCCGATCCAGACACACGCGAGGCGCTGTCCTTTCAGCACCACAAGATCGGGCTGAGGAGGGAGGACTCCCGGCCGTCCTCCTCCTCTTCAAATTGGCTTGAATCTGCTCTGACCCCACAAGAGTGCAGCACAGTAAGTAGGCATTTGTTTTTGCTATAACCACTCCCCAATATCTTGCAAACCCTTTCACCCCCACAACAACCCTGTTTTGTCTAAACGTTCCATCAGCAGGATTGAGAGAAGAAATTCAGTTGTGTTGAGCTTCTGGGGGTGGGAGGGGAGCACCATTAGACTTCTAAGGGATCTGGAGATAAATAAATGTGATTTGTTTATTTAGTTGGCAATCCTGCAATATGGGAGCTGCTAACTTTCCGTGGAACCAAAAAAAATGGCCCTTCGCTATTGAGGAAATGGAGTCATTCCATGGCTGAATAACAGGATCAGGTTCAAGCTAGCCTTTTTTTTGCTTTTATTTTAGGAAATTGCACCTCATGTACAATCCACATATGATGTAATAGGGTACACACTGAGACACTGAATGTATTATTGTGTTTTAGGGTATTACTGATTGAAAAACCAACATAATAGAATAGCAACCAGAGTGGTGAGGTGAAATTTATCATGCTGCAGGGGGGATGGTATAATAGGACTTCATTTTGCGCTAAGTATAATCTTTTTACTGGCATTGTGTGAACACTTTAGTTCTAAAAGTGTATTTGTTTTACATTTATATTTTTTTGTGTGTAGGTTTAGGATTTTCCTTGAATTCCTTAAATTTGAGTGCTGTTGAACCCCATGGGAAGGTGGCATGTTTTGATGATTGAAGTTTTATTGGACAGTGGGAATCATGTCAGGAAATCTAGTGGAAGATCAATGACTGATCGCAGATTGAAAGCCCCTTGAGTGGAGCTGTTGAGGACAGTGCTGTTTTCTCTGTCGTCAGCCCTCTCTTTCTGCCTCACCTCCTGCTGTAACCAGAATCCCACTGCTTGCCTTAGGTCTGGGAAGAAAGGCGTAAGGATGGTGAAGCTGAACAGTAACCCCAGCGAGAAGGGAACCAAGCCGCCTTCAGTTGAGGATGGCTTCCAGACCGTCCCTCTCATCACTCCCTTGGAGGTTAATCACTTACAGCTGCCTGCTCCAGAAAAGGTAAAGCAGGTGCTTTTGCTCTCATTAGCCCATTAGCCCCCAGGCTCCCCCCATCTCAGGAAATAAAGCAGCAAAAAATTCCACCCCCAAACCCTTTCATCCCCTTATCTGCCAAATGTGCTCCCTTTCTTGTAAAATGTAGTTATTCCTTCCAGAGCCGAGACATCGCTTGTATTATTTCAGATTTATGGTAAGTGTTTATTCATTTTTTGTTTATATCTGCATAAATGGGCAAGCAAATTGATCTTTCCTTGTTAAAGTTTTCTTACAGCTGGTGAATACTAATAAGCTTCTAGATGGTGACAGAAAATTCATCTTGATTATTTTGGGAAGGTCTTTCAAAAATTGACAGGTATAGATTTGAGGACAGAGGATTGGATTCACTCCAGCAAGCATTCAGTTTGCACCTGCTAAGACCCTGTCCCTATACTAGGAGTTGGTTATAAAAAGACAAAATTACAAAAACCTTTTCTAGTATGACAGTTTAATCTACTTCATCCTGGTAAATGTTACACCTGAGCATTACAAAGATTGTGAGGGTGCACAGGTGGAAACAACTAAATTCTGTTGGGGTGCAGAGGGTTTGGGAATGGGGCTGAGAGGACAGGTTAGGCAGACTGCAGAGGAGAGCATTTGAATTGGGCTTGTAAAGGTGAGTAAAAAATCTTCCTGGCAGACCATGGATTGGGCAAAGGAAGGCATTTTTAAGGCAAAGCATGGAGAGCTTTGGGGGAGCAGTATGACTGCGGGAGAGTGTCTTTTGGGGAGGCGTGGCTGGAAATGAGTGACTGGCTGATGGCACATCTCCTGACATGGGAGTAGTCCATGAAGAATGGAGGTGGGCATTCACACAAAGGTGGGGTGGGGGTTACGGACACAGAAAGGAGAAACAGTATCATTTAAGGTCCACCTGGGACAACCTGGGGTTTTATTATGTGAGCTTTTGTACACGGTAAGGGAGAGACTTGGAGGCCAGTGATGGAGTTCCCTGACTGAAGAGCGAACAATGGATCATTCCATCTGTTTGGTTTCCCATTGGCATCTGCAGGAGGGCATTGTGTGTCTTAACCAATTGGCTTCAACCAATCAATAGAAGAGAAGCCAAAGCTAGATAAAGGGGCTGCTGATTGGCCAGGGGTTGAATCGTTTGTTTTGAAAGTGCAGAGATTGTCAATAGGAGAACGTGCAAGGGTGGGGTGGCTGACAGAGAGAATTCTTGAGAGCCATCCTAAGGAACTGATAAAGCCTTTAAAGATAAATTCTAAACAGGTAACTAACACTAAAGAGATGAGAAGGGGCAGTATTAATAGAGTACCTGCTACATGTATATCAGAGCTTCTTGGTTTTGAACTGCATATTAGAATCACCTGGGGAGATTTTGGAACTCCTGCTTTCTAGGCCACACCTCAGAACAACTGTATCAGAGTCTCTGAGAGTGAGACCCGGGCATTGATATGAATGAAATCTCCCAGGTGGCTCCTGCATGCAGCCAAAGTTGAGGACCATTGTTTTAGATGCTCATTAACCCTGGGAGTCAGGGATTATTCATTCATATTTATAGATGAAAATTTGGTGAGTTATCTAAGCTCACAGAAGGAGTAAGTAGAAATGTTGGAGTTTGAACTCAGATATAAGTAGAAGTTAGTAGGAGAAGGGAGGGATATTCTCTTGGGGCTTTGTGAGGCCAACAGCTATAGCCTTGCAGCTCTGCATGTCTCTAAGAGGTGTGCAAAGAAAAGGGATTGTGGTGAGGTCATCTCTCCCCTAGCCTTCTACATGCCTGCAGGTCATCTAGAGATTATCATGGTCTCTGATCCCCCCCACCCCGCCACACACTTAGGCTCCCACCCACCTCCCAGGGCTTTATTCTTTCAATGAGAGAGGAGGCAGGTCTGAGAACCACTGAGTATCCAGTCCAGGTGTACCAGAAACTGTCCCAAAACCTGAAGGATAATGCATTGTCTCTCATGGTGGGCCTGCAAGCATGCAAGGGGAAGTCAATTATCCTGAAAGATCCAGGGGACCCAGTTTGACACTCTGATTGTCACCACACAGTCTTTCACCAGGGCAGCCTCAGTTTCCTGTTTTGTAATATGGGGAGGATCACACCTACCTCACAATGGTCCGAACAAAGTTAGATGTGGCCTCATATATAAAGTGCCTGGTTAAAAAAACTATAAAGTATAATGTCACCATTTTTCAGGTGCTTCCTAAATTCTTGATGCTAAGCTATATGCGTGCGCGTGCACACACACACACACACACACACTCACTCATACATGCGCGCAATTTTCTTTCTTCTTCTCAGGAGTTAATAAGTTAATAAGCCCCAGTGAGGGAGTATCTACTTTGGTACAGAAACTCAGACACAGAGGGGTAAAGTAGCTCCCCACAGCAAACAGCTGGGAAAGCATCCTGGATGTAGAGCCCAGGCAGTGCTGTTCCAGAACCTTCCACCTCAGCAGGATGAGAAGTGAGCCAGCCTGGGAGTCCCCACGTGTGGTCTGTGGCTCAAGCTCAGCCACTGACCCACAGTGCAGTCCATTCCCCTCTCTTAAGTCTGTCTTCTCTGAGTGGGGAATTGTATTATCAGTTTTCTGTGCTAATATTTAGATTTTAGAATCTTTACAAGAGTAATTACATTTTTTCCCCAATATGAGAACAGTAAATGTTAAAAGTAAATGTTGCTGAAGAAGCCAAAGGTCCTCTAAATGCTTAGAATAGTGTCCAGATGACCAGCAAGGACTCTGAAGCCACCTCTTTTGGTGGGTTCAAATCCCACTCCAACTCTTACCAGCCTGAAGAACTTGGAGGGTAGTTTCTTTTTTTTTTTTTTTTTTTTTGAGACGGAGTCTCGCTCTGTCGCCCAGGCTGGAGTGCCGTGGCCGGATCTCAGCTCACTGCAGCTCCGCCTCCCGGGTTCACGCCATTCTCCTGCCTCAGCCTCCCGAGTAGCTGGGACTACAGGCGCCCGCCATCTCGCCCGGCTAGTTTTTTGTATTTTTTAGTAGAGACGGGGTTTCACCGTGTTCGCCAGGATGGTCTTGATCTCCTGACCTCGTGATCCACCCGTCTCGGCCTCCCAAAGTGCTGGGATTACAGGCTTGAGCCACCGCGCCCGGCCTGGAGGGTAGTTTCTTAAGTTGCCTCAGCCTCAGTCTTCTAGTGCATAGAATGGGGATGCTAATTTTGGGACTCACCTCACAGGACTTTTGTAGAGGAGGCAGAGCGAGCCCTGACACAGCTGTCAGCCCTTTGGTTATGCTCTGGTCAGATGGTGAGTATTTGAAGCTAAGATGGTTATCAGAAGGAAGGATATTTGACCCCAATGTCAGATCATGGCTTTTCTTTTTGAAAATGTAAAATACAGAGTGTGCTTGTAATACTGAAAGTCAGTATTCTAAGTATCCTTTAGTAGTATGAAGACTGAATTTCGAGAGAACAGCATCTGGAGGCTAGCTGGAGTCCTCTCATGGAACATGTCTGAAGACTTGCTCTGGGCTAAGGAGGGGACTATGCAGGGCATTCAGATTATTTCAGTTAATCTTCCCAGCAGCCTTGTAAGGTGGGTCTCAGTGCCCCCATTTCACTGATGAGGAAACTGAGGTTCAGGACAATATAATGGCCTGCCTAAGCTTTACAGATGAAGAGTGGAAGGACTGGGGTTGGAAGTGTACTTGATATTCCAGCTTTTTTTCTGCATTGCACTGCCTTCAGTAAGAAGTCTCTCATTCTGTGAGAGTGCTTCCTCAAACGCTAGGCTCCCTCATCCGTGGCTGCACCTGCCTCTTAAGCCCTCCCCCTGACAGGCTCCTGGACCTGGAAGGGACCTGGACTGGTCCCTCAGACAGAACACCAGAGGCTCCAGTGCTCACTCCCTGCCTGGTGCTGGAGAGACTGGTGTCAGCCTTGGGGAGGAGTGCCAGGCTCCTGAGTGGCCTCCTGCTTCTCTCTTTCATGGAACTCAGTCCTCCACATTGCCTCTAAGCCTCCCCAGGGCTGTACCTGGGTCCCTCTCCCATGGAAACCTTCCTTATCTCCTCACCCCACAAGATCCCCTCCCTGAATCCTGACCTTGCCACTCCAGCTCCTTCACCACCTGGCCTGCTGGCCTCCATTCTTTTCACTCCCACGTTGTGCCTCGAATGTCAGCATGCCAGACCTACCTGGAGCAGCGGTGCTCTAGGGAGGTGGTTCTGTCTCCCTCGGGGACAGTTAGCAATGTCTGGAGACATTTTTCATTGTCATAACTAGAGGGAGGATTCTACTGGCATTTTATGGGTGGATGCCGTGCTGCTAAATATCCTACAGTATACAGGACACACCAGTCCTGCCCCTAGGAAGAATTATCCTGCCCCAAATGTCAACAGCGTCAAGGCTGGGGAACCCTGCCCTAGACTCTCGCACACTCCCCAGGATGTTCCATGCCTTCTCCTTCATGAACATGCCATTCCTTCTGCCCAGAATGCCCTTATGGCTCCTTTGCTTGTATGATGTCAGTATTCATCTTTCTAAACCCAGTTCGGAAAGCAACTCTCCTGAACGCCTTCCTCGACCACCAATAAGTAGAGCTGTAGTTGTACTTATCACCCTGGGAGGTATTCATTTATTCATCGTCCATCTATCCATCTATCCACCAATCCATCCATCCATCTCCCCATCCGTTCATCATCCACCCATCCATCCATCCATCTCCCCATCCGTTCATCATCCACCAATCCATCCATCCATCTCCCCATCCGTTCATCATCCACCCATCCATCCATCCATCTCCCCATCCGTTCATCATCCACCCATCCATCCATCCATCGTTCATCATCCACCCATCCATCCATCCATCTCCCCATCCGTTCATCATCCACCAGTCCATCCATCCATCTCCCCATCCGTTCATCATCCACCCATCCATCCATCTCCCCATCCGTTCATCATCCACCCATCCATCCATCCATCTCCTCATCCGTTCATCATTCACCAATCCATCCATCCATCTCCCCATC